ATGTAGCCTGGGAGTGGCGTTCTGGGAGGTCTCGGACACGAAGAGTTTGACTCTTGCATCCTGTTCTTCCGAATGTGGCCTGGAAATGGGGTTCTGGGATGCCAAAGAGCTCGAAATGGATTTCTGCTGCATCCCGTTACTCAGAATGTGGCCCGGGAATAAGGTTTTGGGATGTCAAGTACGAAGAATTGTATGACTGTTGCGTCTGGCTATTCAAAATGTGGCCCGGGAATGGAGTTCTGGGAACTCGAAGACCAGGAAGTGGCCTACAGTTGGCTCCGGGCATCGAAAATGTGGCCCGGGAGTGGAACTCTGGGAACTCGAAGAGCACGAAGTGTGTGACTGTTGCATCCGGCCCTCCAGAATGTGACCCGGGAATTGAGTTCTGGGAACTCGAAGAGCACGAAGTGTGTGACTGTTGCATCCGGCCCTCCAGAATGTGGCCCGGGAATGGCGTTCTGGGATCTCGAAGAGCACGAAGTGTGTGACTGTTGCATCCGGCCCTCCAGAATGTGGCCTGGGAATGGAGTTCTGGGAAGTCGAAGAGCACGAAGTGTGTGACTGTTGGCGAAAAACGAGCCCGGCACCCTGCCGCCCGGCAACTCCCAACACCTGCCCGGACCCCCCTGTGGAGTGATCTGTGAGCTGTTTTTAGACCACTAGAAACCTACCAGTCTTCGATGTTAGGTAAAGAAGCCCCCAGAAAAGAGCCCCCAAACGGCCCAGGAGGGCCCCAAGCTGGCCCAAAAAGGCCCCCAAGGCGGTCCAACAAAAACCCTGAGACGGCCCAAAAGGACCCCAAAAGAACCCCAAGGCGGCCGCGAGAGGCCCCCAAGACGGCCTCCGAAGGGGCGGAACGGCGCAAAACCGCCCCAAGACGGCCAAGACGCCCCTGAGAGGCCACGAGAGGCCACGAGAGGCCCCCAAGGGCCTCAAAAAAAAACCCAAGAGGCCTCCAACAAGTCCCCAAGAAGCCTCCAAGAGGCCCCAAAGAAACCCCCACAAGGCCACACAACGACTGGAGCGTAATGTCATTTTTCTCCCCCTGGGCGAACTGCGGCGCAGCGCCAGCCAGGTGAAGTTGGTCACGGCGGCGCCCTTGATTAGAGCCGACGCCAGAAGGGAAAATTGGGAGAGAGTATGAAAATGAGGGGGGAAAGGCCCCCAAAAAACCCCCAAGAGGCCCCAAAAAGCTCCCAAGAGGCCTCCAGGAGGCCCCCAGGAGGCTCCCAAGAGGCCCCGCGACGACGTGACTGTACGTGCTCCGGACGTGCACCCCGCGAAGCGAAAATAATTCCTCCTGTAGAGGGACAGGCCCGCCTGACGTCGCGTCGGGGGGGGGCCGTGCCGGCCGGCGCGCGGCCTCCCCCGGCGGGGGCGGGGCCGGGCTTGGGCGGCGCGGGCGCCGCGCCCGCGCCGCGGAGGCGCTGGAGCTCCGCGCGCAGGTCCTCGGCCCAGGCGGGGTCGCGTCGTAAGTAATCAGAGAATGCTCGAAGATCGTCAAAACATCTCTCCACGACGGCCTCCGGGCGCCCCACGAAGGCCCCAGAAACCATAGCAACGGCCTGGGGAAAAGGCAGGACGGTCCTAAGAGGGCTCCATAACGTGTCTAGAGGGGCCTCACAGGCTGTCCGGATAGTCCACGCGGGAAACGATTGCTGCCGCCCTAAAGGGTCAGCGGTGCGGCGTAAACCAATGAATCCACGTCCGGAGGTGACGTGCTGAGCGGCAGCGTTTTTCGGCGAACGCCTTACTGCAACGTATCCAATGTATCCAATGATTGCATACTTGCCACATGTTGTATTGCGTTGCATTATTATGTCTCCCCACCAAGCCCCCCCTGGGAGCTGCGCCGCACCGCCGGACCAAAGTGACCCCCCTCCCGGGGCCCTAAAAACATACAAGAACCCATGAACAATCAACATTTTCGGCCTCTTGGGCCTCTTGGGGCTCCAAGAGGGCCTCAAGATGACCCAAGATGGCCCCAAGGCGGTCCAAGACGGCCCCAAGACGGCCCAATATATTCCCAACGGCGGCCCATGAGGCCCCCAAGATGGCCCCAAGAGGGCCCCCAAAGCCCCAAGGACGGCCCAACAGGCCCCCGAGAGCGCCCATAACTGCGCCTCCAGAGGCCAAAATCATGTATTTCGTATGGTTTTTGCAATATTGTAGCGTTCTCGCCTTTCTCGAGTTTCACAAACCCTTGACGGCCCAAGCCGCTTCCATAATCGCCCCATAACAAGCCAAAAAGCCTCCAAGAGGGCCCCAAGACGGCCCAAGAGGGCCCCAAAACTGCCCAAAGAGGCTCCCAAGACGGTCCAAGAGGCCGCGAAGACGGCCCAAGAGGACCCCGAGAGGGCTCCAATGCGGCCGCGAGAGGCCCCCAAGACAGCCTCCGAAGGGGCGAAACGGTGCAAAAGCGCCCCAAGACGGCCCAAGACGCCCCCAAGAGGCCCCAAGAGCTCCCCAAGAAGCCTCCAAAAAGTCCCCCAGAAACCTCCAAAAGGCCCCCAACAAGCCCCCCAAAGGCCACACAGCGACTGGAGTGTAACGTTATTTTCCCCCTTCTGGGCGAACTGCGGCGCAGCGCCAGCCAGGTAGAAGTTGGTCACTGCGGCGCCCATGATTAGAGCCGGCGATGGAAGGGAAAATGGGGAGGGGTGTATGCAAAGGAGGGAGGGGGGAAAGGCCCCAAAGAAGCCCCCAAGAGGCCAAAAGAAACTCCCAGGAGGCCTCCAGGAGGCCCCCAAGAGCCTCCCAAGAGGCCCCGCGACGACGTGACTGTACGTGCTCCGGACGTGCACCCCGCGAAGCGAAAGGAATAGTCAAACAATGCTCGACGATAGTCAAAAAAACGTAGCCAGACTATTTTTTTACTGTTGCAGCTCATTCCTCCTGTAGAAGGACATGCCCGACTTCAAGGCAAGCGGAGGGCGGAATGGGGGTAATCGGCGCCACGTGGCTCACCAGACATGATTGCGTCGTCAAAAAATCAGGACGGGAGGTTCTTGGCTATTTTCGGCCCCGGAGGGCCCTCGCCGGGCCTTGGGACCATCAAAAAACGACTCAGGACGATGAACCGGTCCCGGGGAAAGGGTCAGGACTTCCAGGGACGCCGTCCTGAAAAAATCAAGACGTCGCATGTCTGGGAACAGGGCTGGACCTAAATGTTGTTATCCGTTTGTTTTCGTTTTGCTATTTGTTTTGTTGCTCGTTTTGCTCTACCTGTTTTCCCGTGACTCCCTGCCAAGGCAAAAAACAAGACACAGCCGAAGTACAGCAAAACAGCGTTTGGGTGCAGGCCTGGGTCCTCAGAGCCCCGAATTTGTCGTTGTTTTTTTTGATGCACGGATCGGCGGCGAGCCCGGGGGGGAAGTGAGAGGGGGCGGGCCTTCGCAGAAGGCTCGAAGTCCCCCGACCTTCTGATAAATTTTCGGAGCTGTCCCCGAGGACGCCAAAAACTTCTCAGAAGGCGGGCGTGAGGGCTTCTGAGAAGCCCCGCCGCCTTCCGAGGAGGCCGTCTCATTCCCACTTCCCCCCTCGCTCGCCGCCGAATGGAGGCAACAGGAAGGATGCGCGAAAGGAGAGAGCGCAATTGCCCGGCGAATGGCCCCGCGCCAGGCCCTCAGAGCCCCCCCGGAGCCATCCATTGCCATGGATCGGGCGCCCATTCTCTATGCAGTTGTCGGTGCCGTGCGTGTCCTTCTTCTCCTCCACGTCCGAGCGATGCCACGATCCCAAGAGATCCTGGCGTCTCAATTTTTTGAATCGGGCGTTTTCGCCCGGTTTCGGGCCCGGGGCCTCTCACAGATCGATCTGGCTCGAAGAGCTGCGCAGCAGGATGGGGTCTGGGGCTGCGGCCGTAATACCTCCCGATGTCACAAATGTCTCGCTACGTCGGATCTCAGGGCCAATTACGATGCATCTTTCAGGGACCTCATCTGTCCCATCGCGCCAGCTTTCCGTGTCGCAACCAAGTCGAGCCCACGTCGAATCCACATCCATGTCGACTCCACGTCGAATTCACGCGTCGAACCCACGTCGGGGTACAAGAGAAACAAGGGAAAAGACTGCCATTTACAGAAGAGGAATGGTCCTCCGAATATGCAAAATTGTATCAGGGCAGGGGGCTGGTCAGGCATAGCTCCTGCTTTGGATCGAGATTCAAACGAAAAAAGAGGCTACTCATTTCGCCACCTGGGGACTCTTCGGGCCAAACAATGGGACCAGAGGCGGAGCGGAGAGATGTAATGTACAATGCGGGGATCAACAAAACCTCGAGGTCACACACCCTGCCGGCCTATCGAGGTCAGTTGCACATGTGGAGTAAACAGAAAAGACTTCTCTGCACTCCCGTTTGCGCACTAGAGTTTCCCCGGATTGCAATCACCCCGAGCTCTCCCAAATTACCTTCTGCCCCGTGTGGAGGGTGTCCAGCACGCTCCTGAGAGAGGAGTGACTCCGAACCAAGTGGTTCCGGGGAGAGCATGCTCCCAGGCATGCGATGTCCTGCTTGTTTCGCAGAACAGGGCCCATGGAAGTCCCGACCCCTTCCCGAGGACGGGCTTATCCCTCCTCCCTCCTCCCTCCTGAGTCGTTCCCTGACGGTCCCGGGCCCTGTGAGGGCCCCCAGAGGCTGACCATTGCCTGAAAAGCCTCGTGTCGAGATTTCTGCAACAGCGCGAGCACGTCCGGGTGGGGACCCCGCACAGGACCCTGCCTGCCCGGCCCAGGTCTACCACGAACAGTGCGGCTACCCACGTAGAGGCCTCCCAGATGGGGTCGGAGCAGATGGGGTCGGAGTATCGCGCCGCACCGCCGATGCAGCGGCGATGCATCGGTGATGCAGCGGCGATGCATCGTTGACGTCGGCTCTGCATCGGCGACGTCGACATGAAACAAAGCAGGTTGCACATTGAGTCGCATCTCCGATGCATCGGCGATGCGGCGCGATCCTTCGACCAAACCTGCTCCGACCTCATCTGAGAGGCCTGGACCACGGTCCTGGAGCTCCTGGTCCTGGCCGCCGTCCGACTGCACCCTGTCCTGCGCAGGAGGGGCGCGGGCAGCGATCGCGGGCTGGGGGGTCTTGCTTTAGGAGGTCGGGCGTGTCCCCCTACAGGCGGATCTTGGAGGAAACATGGAAAAGATTCAGAACATGCCCCACTTAAAAATAGTCCCCACATCATTTTTCCCCACATCCTGAGTGGGGTTCTTGTTTTCCCAGAACATCCTCTCCTTCTCCCTCTCGCCTCCCGCCTCCCAAATCAATACCATGCCTACCATTCCAGCCTCCCATATCATACCATGCCTACCATTACATACCGTACCATACCATACCTACCATACCATACCATACCATACCATACCATACCATGCCATGCCATGCCATGCCATGCCATACCATACATACCACACACTACCAAACAATACCATACCACACCATACCTACCATGCCATACCACACCATACCATACATACCACACAATACCGAACAGTACCATACCATACCAACCATACTGTATAGCATACGTGCCATACCATACCACACCATATCATACCATACCATACCTACCATACAATACCATGCCATACCTACCATACAATAGCATACCTACCATACGATACAATACCATACCACACATACCATACAATACCATACCATACTACCCATACAATACCATACCCTACATACCTTACCATACCATACCCGCAGGAGCGAGCAAGGTATCGGAATACCGCACTATTTACGAGGTTTCGGGCCCCTCCCGCCCCTCCAAAGAGGCCCCGCCTGAGCGAGGAGGGTATCGGGAACCCGTACTATTTACATGGTTTCGTGCCCCCCCCTCCCCTCCAGGGAGGCCCCGCCTGAGCGAGGAGGGTATCGGAAACCCATACTATTTACAT